GCTAAAGAAATTGTTACAGGAGACTTTGGAGCCTACTTAGTGAGAGGGGGTTATGTTTGTGTGGTTATATGATTGAGATTCAGGGGCATTGATTTTGTAGATTGGTGGTCGATTTTGGTTGAACTGGTAAATAACTACAGTTAGTCACTAAAAGCTGCTATGTTTGGTGTGAATTAATCTGTTAACAGACCACAGTGACTCACTAAAAGTTAGATTAGGACTTTTTTTCCTAGTAATGGACGATTTAGTAGCACTGGTGTTCTATTAGTGTTGCTTGTTACTTGTTTGTTTTTATCTGGTGTTATAGAATGCAATATTGGAAGAGTAAGAGTAGAGCAATCTTACATCTTTAACATGCAATTTGATATCCTTTCATTTTTTGGGTTTTTTTTATTCATCTTGAAGAATGGCGACGGAAAACGTTTATAAGATGAAAAGAATAAATTGACATGTTAGGATAGGAGATGAAAATTTAATGATGAAGGGTATGGTATACAAATAGTAAAGGAATTTTTTTTTGGTATAATCAGAAGGTAGAGTTTGTTAGAAAATGTTATAATTATTGCTTATTTCTTTATNGGTGAAGATGAATGAATACAATATTTCTAAAACTTTCTAAAGCATCTGCATCTTTTATGAAGTTTTCTGTGAAAGAATGCAAATGAGTTTATTTCACCCCCACCCCCCAAACACAAATTTCTTCTCTCCCTCCCTCTCTTGTTCTTTTCTTTCCTTTTCTTTTTTTGTTGTAAGAAAGTGCTTTGTTGATTTTAGGTTTATGTAAAAATAATAATTTGGACCTAAAAGCAACTTCAAAACGTTGAATAACATACTTGCAATAGTTTTTGGTATATTATATGGGTATTGGCTTTAGACTGGGTTTTAAATGGTTCAACGCTGTAGTAGACGGATGGCTGTTGCACAACATACTGACATTTGTTTTTATTTACTCAATTACCTTTCACCATCACTATACACACTATGACTCAGTGATGAAACATAGTCCTTGCCGAAATTCATAAAAGAAAGGATCTTTGCATTCTGTCATGTGACGGTATTGTACATACTAAATTCATTAGAGGGCTAATCGGTGATAATTATACTATTTTCAATTGCAAGGCTGAGCAAAATATTAACAAAACAAATTTTACTTCTTTTCTTTTGTGAATCTTATTGATTGTATCATCTAACATGTGAAAACAACTCAACGTATAAATCTTCTAACTGTATTTCAAATGTACATGGTCGCTAAATACATGGTTCGTGCCAGAAGTCTTTGGTTATTTTATGGTTTGTGTCAGCACCACATATTAGGGTGCGGGTATTGAGGAACTTTTGTCTGCAAATAGCAGTGTGTGGGAATCTTCTTTTGGTAAATTTTAATGTGAATATGGAAAATGACATAACGAATTAAACACGTATATGCATGCTGGGTTGTCATTAGATGCCAGCCAGAGATATGTAATAATTATGAAGAGAAAAAACGCTCGACCTAAATAAGAAGGAAGGCAAGTGAAAACAGTGCGGACATTTTCTGAACTAGAAGAATAACAAGAAGAAGAAGAAAAACTAAGTAGCTGGCAAAAAGAATAAAAAATGAAATAACTTACTGAGGTTTGATTTTTGATTGTTTACTTTACTTCTTTTTAGTTATTAGGATAGCAGTCAGTCACTTGTCATCTATCTTGATTCGATTTCTCTTTTCCAAGTGGAAATAAGAAATTGTCTATGCGTGTGCTGACACTTTCGCTCTTGATATTTATAACCTATTATTCTGGTGGGCAAAAATGTTGGTACTTTGTTGGATTTGCTTGGCAGTTCTTAGATTGAGTGACTACTTGGTTGTGTGTGCTTAAATACTTATTTTAAGTAGTTCTTTGTTGCCTGCTTTCTCACAACTCTTGTATAGAGAAGCCCATCTTCTGTGTAAATATATCTCTCTGGTTGACTCAATCAATTTTACTTATCGAAACTTGGTTCATTGCTTTTTTTGTTGGATCTATAAAATTTTGATATATTATAAATCTTTATACGTAAATTATCTTGCACGTCGACACATCTATCTAGTTTGAGAGCCTTGGTGCATGTAAAAAAAGGTTCATTTATCTTCCATGTCTTAATAACGGCGCTGCATAACCATTTTTTCATGGTGATATAATCAGTCCAATACATAATTCGTCTTTCTATCTAGTTTATCTGGTATACACCGGATTCTTGTTTTATCTTAACTTGAAACTTCTTTCTTTAGTTTGCATCTTTTTGTATTTTCTTCTGCTGCTACTTCTTTATTTTGTCAACTATCCAAGACAAGCTGAATTTGAGCATCTGATATGAGGCAAAAGCTGCTTTATAACATTTTTCCTCATTATTTTCCCCTTTACTTTTTTTTTTTGGTTCTCTTTTTTCG